CCACACTGTGTTATCTCTGATTCCAGCATTGGCAGTTCTTACTATCTCTTATAATAAAAGTGTGAAAGGAGGAGAGATGGGTCAATTAGGGGCCAAAAAAGTGAGCTAAGCAAGAAGGCAGAAGGTATGGTTGAGGTAGGTATTATACAACTGACTTTTTAACTTTGTCATTTGCCCCCTTTTGCTGCTTCATTTTATTCTTTTATTCTTCACTTCCTATTGCCACTACCTGTACTCACAACTATAATAAAGTGAATCTGGAATGGAATTCCAGAGAAAAGACACCAGGCTCAAATAAAATGTACGTAGAATCATAAAAAAATACAAAATAGGAGCAGAAGTAACCCATTCAGGCCATCAAGTCTGCTTCACCATTCAATAAAATCTTAGCAGATCTGTTGCGGGTTTTGAATTCCACATTCCTGTCTACCTCCAATAAACATCAATTCCCTAACATAACAAGAATCTATCCATCTCTGTCTTAAAAATGATCCCACATCCACCAAATTCTGGGTCAGAGAGTTCCAAAGTCGCACCAGCATCTCAGAGAAAAAAATCTCCTCATCTCTATCCCAAGAAGGTAATGTTTAATATTAAAATAGCGTCCCCCCAAGTTCTGGACTCATTCATAAGCGCAAACATCCTTTCCACATCCACCTTGTCAAGACCATTCAGGATTCTGTACACTTCAATCAAGTCAACCCTCACTCTCCTAAATCCAGTGGAAACTGACCCAACCAGTCCAACCCATCCTCATAAGAAAATCCGCTCATTCCAGGTATCAATCTAGTTAATCTCCTCCGACTGCCTCCAATACATTTACGTTCTTCCTTGAATAAAGAGACAAAAACAGCACATATTATCGAGATGTGGTCTCATGAATACCCCATAAAGCTGAAGGATAACATCCTTAATTTTATGTTCCATTCCTCTCATAATAAACAAAAGCATTCCATTAGCCATCTTGATTCCATGCAGTACCTGAATACTAAGTTTGTATGACTCATGCACCAGAACACTCAATATTTCTTCTTGTGTATTTTCCCTCACACTGTGATTACTGTTAAGTGGTGGGGGGGGAGTTGTAGACCGCTCCCACCAGTGACTTCTTTCCTCTACATTTCTTATCTTCACCCAAACTGATTCTACATCATGATCTCCTGATCCAAGGTCATTACTAACAATTGCAACAAATGTCCTCCTTGATTAACAGTGCTATCCCTTCCCCTTTGTCCAACATCCTATTTTTCTTGAATGTCATACACTCTTCAATATACAGGACCCAATCCTTATCATCATGAAGCCATGTTTGTCTAATGGCTATCAAATTGTATTTATTTACTTCGAAGTGCACTATCAATTTTTTTACTTTGTTATGAATACTACATATATTCAGATACAGAGCCTTTAGTTTTTGTTATCTTTGTAGCAGCTCATCTTGATTGTTAGTGTATTCCTATGTTTTATTTTTCTCACTGGCCCTTTCTTGAATTCTCTGACCCTCACTTCCCATTTAATTATTATCTTCTCTTGCGTTGTCTCTATTCTTCAATAAAACACATCTTTCCACATTTGATCCCTTACCCTCACTATTTAATTTAATCATCTCTCTGCTTCCTTGTCATGCAGTTCACAAAAACACAGGCTCCAGCCCCAGGTCAAGTGCAGACCATCTCAATAGTACAATGCCCATTTTGTCTAGTACTGGTTCAGGTGGCCCACAAACTGGAATCTACTTCACCCACAGCATTCTTTAAGCTATGTATTCATCTGTCTAATTTTATGTACAGTATACTAATTTGCATTTGGTTCAGCTAATGATCCAGAGATTAAAATTTTGGAAGTTCTGCTTTTGAATTCAGTACCTAGCTTCTCATACACTCTATGCAGAACCTCTTTCCTAGTTCTACCTATGTTATTGGTATCTACATGGACCAGAAGACTCTATCCTAAATTATGTGAATACTTCCTGGCACAAAGAATCCAGGATATATTACTAGTCGGTCTAATCAACTAATTTAAACAAGACAAAAATTTAGAGAATTTAATGAAGTCAATCTGACAATGAAACATAGGAACATGGGAAAGATCTATAGTCTTTAATACAAAATGCAGACAGCAGTAGATTCTTTGGGCTTAACCTTCCCACATTTTGATTGTGTCACTTTCACAGAGTTTCATGGAGAGTTTCCCTCCATCAGACCAGGCAGCTTTTCTCATACATTTGTTTGCTTTGTTAATTATGGATCTCACGTTTCAGTCAAACAATCTTGTGCTCAGCAGAGATGGAAGCCCTTGCTGGTGTCAAAAGCCCCATCATTAAATCCCAATTATATACCACTTTAAATGTTGAAAACCAAGCAATTGCCTTTAGTGTGTTGTTGTGTTATTCCATACAACATGGCTGAGAGATAATTTGACACCCTTTTTTACAAATAGTGACTTGGTGAATGGGATGGAGAAGAGGAGGGACATCCTCTTTCCTCAGCACTACTACAGGACATGATGGCATGAGAGGCTACCAGCTTGGTCTGAAGTTGCCACTTGCATCAGTACACTGTCCACAAACCAAAGGACTGCACAGCAATGCTGCAAGAAGCTTAATGACCTTCTCTGCTTCTTAATGATAAATGCCACCATCTTCTCTCTAATATCACACAGTTATGCTAACTCTGCTACTGTGTCCACCACCCACCAAAGCTCATGGCCTTCCACTCTCACTACTGTATGTAACATCTTCCCTAAATGACTTTCACCCATGCTATTCCCTGACTACCAACCCTTTCTGTCTGCTATGCTTCCTACTCACTCACTTGGGACACCTCATGAAGTTTCTTGACTGAGGATGAACCAGTCCCTTGACTTACTTCTTTGCAGCTCTCTGACTGATTTACCAGTAATCTCCAAATTGGTTTCACTCAACCTGCAGGACTAACTGTTGCTCAATCCCAGGAATAGATGGACACTGATCCCTGCATCCTGATCACACCAAGCATGTGAATGACCATGTCAAAGCTCCTGGTCTGAAATCAAAGGATGGCTTTGACTGACTGTGGTGGCACCCCTGATTGGCCATTTCCCTAATGACTGAACAAAGGACTAACTCTCCCTAGACATGGCCATTTGATTGAAGCACATTCAGTGTGTCTGCCAAGTAGCTGCTAATACATGTTGTAGTGTGACACTGTCGTAGCATGGTGTTATATAGTAACATGTCTGCACCCTTGACTGTGCAGTGTTATTAAATATGATAAACTACCTGGCTTGGTGACTGCACTAAATAGCAAAGTCAGCCAAAGATACTGCGTTCAACAAAGCACAAAGTGCGTGAGTACTAAGAAAGCAAGCTCAGAGCCCTGAGAAGCACTCTACTTCAGTGCATGAGATGGGTGTCTGGCTCTATTTGCTAAGCGAGTTGACAGTGGCATTGCAATGTAAGATGTGGTGAGTTCCAATATTGAATGCAGTGATGATGTGCTGAACTGTATTGCAAGCTAGACAGAGATATACTATGGTGATGTAGTGAGACTAATGCTTTGCCATCACTGTCCACAGAGAATATGCAGAAGTAATATTCATTTTAAACCTCTGCTGTGCAAGATTTTGTTTTATATGGGCACCAGTCAGGAGGCAAACAAACAAATAATTGCTGACGAACATAAGGACAGTTCTATTTGTAAAGTCCATGATACTATAACTGTCTTGAATTTATTTTAAAAAGTAATTATATGTTTTATTCTAATTGTGTTGTTATGAAGTAAATGTTCTAGAATTTGGCAATCAACTTAACAGAGAATTTAGGCTAGCCCAATCTTACTATTTTGCACAATTCATTGCCCATTTATTTGGCTTTGCGTGTGATCTGTTTGGTTATTATTTTACAATTCTTGGAAAAGTAGTTCAATTCCACATGAAGATTGCATGATAACCATTTATCATAGCCACTTATTCAAGCCATAACATTAATACTAGCTACCATTGAACACTTATTACATAAAAATGGTTTAGTTACAAAATCTAAATCTCTTAAAGTAACATACTGTGGGTGTCTTAGATGTCATGTTCTAAGTCCATCAACCTATCCCAAATTCTCTCAAGATTTCTCTCACTCCTAATATTAATGAAGGTGCAAATTTGAGTAAAATATTGTGTAATATTGGGTGATTGTATGATATCACATCAAACAAAATCTGGGAACTGTCTCTCTTATCGTATTCTGGAAGTACCTTTACTACAAGAAATGCAGCAATTCAACAAGCCGACTCAACAACTCTTTTCCAAGGGCACTCTAGGAATAGCCAATAAATACTGGCCTTCATAGCGATGCCCTCTTCCCAAACAGTAAAAAAAATGATAATAAACCGTTTTAGAGCATTTACTGCTCATTTATTTGAGAATGTTATCTATTTATGAACTGTCAGTAAATTCATGTAAAGGCTGTCTTCCTTGTGCTGCATACCTTTCAGAGGCCTCAGTCGTTACAAAAGCTAATAATTAAATTTTGTTTAAACCTCAATAAAGATTGGAGAGAAAATGAGTAAGGTGTGGCCATTGCAGCTTAATACTTGTTCTAAAAGCACTATTGACACAGAGGAGTAAAATTAAGTGAGTTTCACATAAACCACATAAGTAGCTGGCACCAGACCAATTGGAGCCTAAATCGTGCCTGGATGAGTAATTACAGCAATTTAAACCCGTAACTGAGGCAGCTAGAGTTGAAGTCTGTAAGTTATGTCTGTAACAGAGTTATAAGTGATTGTGGTGAATTTCCTCATTTCTACATACAAAGAAATGAAGTACAAAGCTAAAAGCCTTTCAGACTGTCTCCTAGCATTATAATTACATGTATAAGATTCACAAGCTATTTGTAGAAATTTCCATGTAAGAACCTCTCTGAAATGTAACACACATAATAATTGCATTGTACTTATTTATTGGAATCCGTGTGGCCGGCGCTGAGGTTTGTTGGTCAGACTCTTCATTCTCAAGTAGCGTTTGCCGATCAGCTGAAATTCCCTTTGTTAATCCAAATGAAGTTCCTTTTATATGAATTATATCAGAAACAGAAACCTAGAAATAAGGTAAAATGTATGATATATAATTACAATAACAGAAAATAGTTCTGTCAAGACTGGGCCAGTAATTAGAGATAGAAATTAATTTTATTAATATCTTAACAATTTTAAAATTTAGTCAGGCTGCAATGTCCAAACGAAATAAAAAATGTAACTTTTCTAGGAAGAAAAACGCCATGCATTTAGTATGTAATTTGTGTCCTTTATTATCCTAATTTTTGAATTAAATAAATTAAAACTTACTCTTGTTCACACATAGCCAGCTTGAAAAATACTGCTAAGGAAACATTAGCAACTAGCACAACCCTGAGTTGTTTATGTTATTAGCTGCACAACTTTTACCATTAGTATTAATTTCCTTAGCTGAAACTAAAACATCTGATGTCCTGCCTTCATTTAATAAGTTCAGGTCAATGGTTAAAGTTTGAAAGATTACTACCAGAAACATTTAAACTAAAAACCTGATGCCAAATAATTCATACTTAGAATGGCAAGATGTCCCCTTCCAACATTTGAAGAGTTGGCCAGTCCATGGCTGGAGATGGGCCATCCACACTCAATCAGGAGGAAATCCAGCAACTACAGTGGACTGGAATGCATCTGCAAGTGGTCCTATAGCCTGGAAGTCCTGGAGGTTCAGGACTAGGTAACTGTGCAAGTCGCAGTGTGGTAATGGGTAAGGTTCAGAGGGCTGGGCAGGGCTCAGGGACGGAGGTATTGATAGAGATGCAGGGGAGGGGACAATCTGCAGGGCAGACTTCATATTGAAAAAAGCCTATTGATGGAAGCACCCTCCAATTCCCACTTTAGGCATGAACAGCATCATTTTCCCCTGGCCTGAACCGTTCTTGAAATGGTCTGTAAATTGTAATGAATTGGCCACTTAAGGGCCTCAATTAAAACAAGGAAAAGCAGATTTCATCAATCCCACATAAAATTGCAAATAGTTTGGAACAGGCAGGAGCTGATGGGAAGGCCATCTGAAGAATTCAATGAGCCTTCCCATTGGCAAACCCACCAGCAGAATGTAAATTTCTGCTTATATTGTAAGCACGCCTCAAAAAACAGTGATAATTATAGTTCAAAATCAGATCACATTGCACAACAAAACAAAATAGTTCCTTCAAAAACAGTGATGTTTGAGAAATTAAACACAGAACCAGACAGATTTCTGAAATGAACAAAAACAAAGTTGCTGGGAAAGGTCAGCAGGTCTGGCAGTGTCTTTGTTATTGTTCCTGATTTACAGCATCCACAGTTCTTTCGGTTTTTAGATTTCCTAATTTGTATTGATATGAAAGGTTTGCAAATTACATTTTAAGCTGACATATCCAAATACATAATGCTTTGTACACTTACTTAATATTTCTAGACTAATACACTTCAATGATTAAATATATCATCATTTCTTACAGTTTGGTTTAATAGTCTAACATTTCCTGGAGAGGGATATCTCATGATATGGCCCATCAGATTTTTTTCACTCACCCCTCAGCTCAAAAATATTTCCAGAGCAAATGACTAGAAATGTGAATAGATAGCACCTGGCAAGCTTAATTGAACAACTAGAATATGAAATTAACAGAAAATCAAAGAAACAGAAATAAAGATTGGATTGAAAAAGAGAGAGAATTTAAGGAAAAAAATATGAATAATGCTAAATTTTAAATTTCTCTGTTAAGAACAAACCCAAACCAATGGCAATTAGTTTGTCCAACAATTGATTTGCAAATGCAGAAATTTCTCAACACTCAATGCGGAGGTTGATAGCAAGCTGCAATTTTCATGAGGCTAATGGTATATGACACAAATCATCTAGACATTTGTAGTAATTTGTGACTCATAAGTCATCTTTCCCTCGGCACAAATTACTGGACAATTTAAACACTAACAATTTGTGTGCCCAATAAATTCTCCATATTTTTCCAGTAGACTGTGGGCTGTTGATCAGCAATACAGTGGAGAAATATTTTGCTTTATACAATGCAGAACTTTGTTTTAATTCGTTCATGGGACATGGGTGTCATTGGCTGGGCCAGCATTTATTGCCCATGTCTAGATGCCCTTGAGTAAGTGGTTGCCTGCTGCCTTCTTGAACTACTGCAGTCCATTTATTGTAGGTACACCCTCTGTTGTGCTGTTGGGGGGCAAGTTCTAGGAATCTTGACGCAGCAACACCGAAGGAACGGTGATATATTTTGAAGTCTGAATGGTGAGCAACTTAGAGGGGAACTTGCAGCTGGTGTTGTTCCTTGTTGGAGGTGGCTAGAAAAATGCTTTCTCACGATTTCACGAAATCTTGGCAATGATGTGGAAGAAATTTAATGGAAGATCACTAATGCAAATGTCTTTGCATGTTACTTAAACGTACTTGCTTAAAAAAATCTATGTCCTCAACTTTTCTAGACCTTATGGGAGATCATTGATCTGAAACATTGGTATAAGATTTACCACTAACTTGGGTAACATTAGGGAGGCCAGGCAGATCCCAAATCCCATATTTATTGGCCATAGAACTGGATCCCCCATTTTACTACAGGCAGCCTCCAAATTGAACACCTGTGAGGCTGCCAACTGAGAACAGCAGGAGATACTGTCGATGCTGCCATCCCGATTAGAAGGCAAAAGCTCTGAATCCTCAGCAACCCCACTCAGAAAGATAACCACTACTAAGGAACATCAGTGACCACAAGGCACCAGCGGTAAAACAAAAATAACAACTTCAGGGAACTAAGAATCAGACAGGAAACCATCTTCAACCACACTGACAGCCACTTTACATGACATTCCTCATTCCTTCAAAGAGAAAGCAGTTGAATTGGGGCCAGAGAAGACAGGGACCATCTTGTGACAATGTGAAGACAATTTCTCCCAGGAAGCCATAAGCAACATTGCTATCTGTTCTTCTCAGATATGCAGAAAGGTAAAAACATTGCTGTACATTCAGTGTTATGCATCTTCATCAATGAGTTGTCTGAGGGTATGACAGCTGCAATGTCATAGCTTGCAAACTTTGGGATGATCTGCCATTGCCAATGGGGAAGGTGAGGTATTGAGTGGCCTCCATTAATAATTGTAACATTTGACCAGGCCACAATGTACTTTATGGGACCAGGTTATGAGTGGATGATGCGAGCTACTCTTCTTAGCAACTTTAAAGCCAAATTAAACCAAATTATACAAACTGACAGCCCTTGAAAGGTGCACTGTAACCAAAAAAAAAACTCATATGGAAATTACAAATTCAAATTGAAATGTGGTTTTGGAAGCTAATGATGTACTCCAGGCCCTGCAGTGCCCATCAGCTACGAAGACTTCAAGTTGTGAACACCACATATTCCCTCTCCAAGGACATGCCAGCATGGACACAGTTGCTTAGCTGGTGTGAGCTGTGTAGACACACTGTTTGAATGGGAATTGAAGGCAGAGTTTCAAATTTGATTTATCACTGGACTCCTGATTTCTGGAATGGCCCTTCAGTTAGCCGCACATTCCAAACATCAATTTCACTATCTTTCAGAAAAGATGGTACTTATTCCTTTTACTTTGGTTGTAGCCTTCTCAAAATCAGATGCACATTGCACATTTGATTTTTGAATCAAGGTCCTGACAGAATTTGTAATTGTTGTAGTTGCACCCTTCCTCTGTCAACAAGAATAACCCTTTCCATTTTGCAATCCCTGTTTTTCCAAAGATCCTTCAAAGAAAGTTAAGTGATGATTTGATACAACAGTTTGAAATGAAACGAAATGATAGAGAGAAATTGTTTGCATTGGCAGAAGGATCCAAACTCAGAGGACAAAGACTTAAGTTAATTGACAAAAGAACAAAAGGCAGCATGAGAAACTTTTTTTTAATAAAACAAGGGTAAGATAATGAAATACACTGGCTGAGAGGGTGGCAGAGACAGATGTGGCTTCAAAAGGGCTAAGAATCTGAAGATTTAAAAAATGTGCAGGCTACAGGGAAAACAGTAGAAGACTTTGTTGCAGCAGCATGTACCATATGGAAGGAACCCTGAAATTACTCATCAATGCCCTTCCAACAGCACCTCCCAAACAAATGACCTCTACCATCTCAAAGGACAAGAAAACATTTCACCGACAATGTCTCTAGGCAATTAGGAATGCACAATAAGTGCTTCCCAGCAGGCAATGCCCATATTCCATGGACAAATGAAAAGAAAGTTTAAGACAATTTCTATGTTCTTGCAAAGTGTTAGCACTTGCTCTGTGCTGTAACTATTCAATGATGCAATAACCATGGCATCGGTTATACAGGCTAACTAGGGTTTCTTGGGCTGCAGCAACTACTGGAATGGAGAAGAGACCTAAGATGACTGTTCCCCAGGTCTGCCGCTCATCCAGATATCCTGCTGCAGGGCCCAAGGCGCTACACTGACCTGAGTTCTCCAAAGGACAACAGGATGAGCATAACCTCTCCAATCAAGCAGGAGTGGATGAAAATGATTGGAGCACATTCGATAGAGAGAGTATGGTCCTCCCACATGGAGTCAGGTGCTACAGGAGAGTACAGGCCCCAGAAATTTAAACTGTTTTTAATCCTTAAATTTCCTGGGTAACTATCCCTAAAATAAATCAGAATCTTCTAAAGCCCTGACTGTAGTTCAAAGGTAGAGACTTTTACGAGGGTTCCAGACATGCTGTCAGAAGTTTAAACATCCTGAGTAATTTCCTCATTAGTCACCACAGCAAGACTTCGAAGGGATCCCAAGGCACCTCTTTCAGGCTACATCCAGTCTCCAACTTTCCAGAGAATGGAAGATCTGGCCCTATATCTCTTTATCTATCCTATCAAATCCTTCAGTTGCCTTAAACACCTCAATTAAATGTAAAATTACACTTTGAAAAAATGACTTAATGACAAGAGCGTGCACAGAAATGTTAAAATTATATATTGGCAAAAGAAGCAATTGTGACAAAAATAATATTTTTATGCAGAGGAAGTTTAGGACCTTGAATGTTTTGCCTAAAAATGTGGCAGAGGAAAATTACAAGTGGCCTTCAAAAGAGAATGAAATAATTATAGGAAGAGAAAAGATTTGCAGACCTATGGTTAAAAAGACAGGGCAGTGGGACTAGGGTCATTCTATGATTCAATGTAGATGGTGATAAATAGTTTTTTAACCTACCTTTCGAGGTAATGCAAGAATCTTTTCTATATCCTCGTTGGTTAGAGTATCCTGAAATCTGTACGGAACCTCAAAAGATGTTTGTCTGGAACGTGTCACTTGTGCTGAAGTAAGTGCAGCCTCAGATTTTGGCCTTTGCTCTGTTTCTGAAGGTGTCGTTGGACTTATTACAGTGCTGCCCAAAGCCTTTGTGGTTTTTCTCTCCTCTTGGAGTTTCTGATTGATTCCTTTTAACATTTCAGTCTGAACAGCAATAATTGATTGATTAATTGTAGATAAATTATTTAACATTTAAGAAGCAATTTTCTGAATATTTGCACAGTTCATAGCATAAATTTTGACACGCACTCAAGGGGCACCAGAAACTAAAGCTGAACAATTACCCTCTCATTGTTCACCCTCAAATCCATGATTTAAATTTTAGTCTGACACTTCGTTGTTTGAAGGATCTTTTAACGCAATGTGCTTTCTTCGTCCAATTTGATAAATTACTTTAGAACATACCATTCTTTCTCTAAGGAAATAGAGCCACCTCTGCTTCTCTGTCACCACCTTCTTCGATGCATTTAATATATATAAAATGTACAATTATAAGAAGATGCAACTTTCCCGTAAAGATAATGTGTGTAATTTTTCCCTCCCTGGAGGTGGTGAGAAGAAAGACAAGAAAGGAAAGTAGTGGTCAAGTTAGTCCAGGAGAGAAACTTAACTCTTTCTTGCCATCTGAGCAATTCTGTGCTCAACTAGTGGGTCAATAGGCAACTTTCTCGACTTACTAACAAATAAGGCCCTTAAGTGGTCATTAGTAACCACTGAAAAGGCCTCACTCACCAGCTCCTTGATCAGCTGCACCTCAGCGAGCAAGAAAGGTAGCTAGTTTCCCAATTGGGAAACTGCATGTTAACTTGGAGGGGGCTTCAAATTGCCCCAACCAGAGAGGGGTGGGGGGGCATACTGAGGTAGTACAGGAGCAAAAGTAGATCATCTAGCTTCTTGCGCCTGTTCCACCTATTGCAAAGAGATCACTGTTGACCTGCAACTTAATTCCGTGTTCCTGTCTTGTCCCCATATCTCTTATGGATAGCAAAAATGTAATCAATCTCAATTTGACATTCACAATCTAGTAACATGGTGGAAACACTGACATTCTAAAACAACACTGCCAATGCCTCAACAGTGTTGGGAAGCCTAGCAATAATCGCTGTAGCATGTCACCAAATTTGTAGAAATCTGATGCATTTAACCTGGCTCTCGAGGTTGCAGCCATTGCCATCGTTCTTACATGAGCACCTCAGAGAAAGCAGCTCCAAACAGCTCATGAAATTCTGATCTGCCCAAGATATCGCCAAGTCACTGCTGCTCCACAGTTCCCCATCTTCTCATCCTTATGCTACAGATTATCACAACATCCTCTTGGTTAAAATTCTGAAATGAAAAACTCTACACGTAAAAAAACTCTAACACCTCCACAGCCTTCCTAAGGAGAGCCACGGTGGCTCAGTGATTAGCACTGCTGCTTCACAGCACCAGAGACCCGAGTTCAATTCCACCCTTGGGTGACTGTCTGTGTGGAGTTTGCATGTTCTCCCTGTATCTGCATGGGTTTCCCTCTGGGTGTTCAGATTTCCTCCTACAGTCCAAAGATATGTAGGTCAGGTGGATTGACTGTGCTATAGTGCCCAGGGATGTGTGGGTTAGTCATGGGAACTGCAGGGATAGGGTAGGGGATGCTCTTCAGAGAGCTGGTGTGGACTTGTTGGGCTGAATAGCCTGATTCTGCACTCCAGGGATTCTATGATTAAAGATTGCAGGCTAATTTTAACTTCTGCTAACCTCACAAGCAGCTCTGCCCCCTGCAGGGCATGAAGCCAGTCAGCAGTGCATTTAAGCTGGGCTGTACCCAGTAAGCAGGAGATGATTAAGCAGCGCAAAGTTTTTGTGCTGTCTGTATCACTTCGACTGGGTGTAGGAAATTGTGCATCATGATACACATACCCACGAGCAAGTTATGTGCAATTTTTAGCCCCAAATCTCAAAAGTCCCCTTTCTAGACTCCCTCAATGCCATTTGAACCACTCTTCAGAGTATTTAAACTACCAAGAACAATTTTCATTCACCTTTTGAATCTCCTTCCCCCTATTTAGGGGGCACATCACCGACTGAGGTCACCTGACTGAAATCTAAATTTGCTAAGTATAAAATCACAATAAAATCTCGTGTGTCAACAATTTGTGTATAAAATCCATCCATGCAATTTGTGAACGTTTTTCAGTTTTACTGTAAGTTTTCATAAACAATGGATTATTCATTCACTTTTAAGTTGAAAACAAAATGCTTCCAAACAATTGTGCTTGTTTTACATAAGAACATATGTAGTTAAATTGTACCTTTTTAATTTGCTTTCCAGCTCTCTGCTGAGAATCCGTCAGTGATATCTTCCCTTCAGTTTGCAGCAATGCCATTTCACTCTCCTGTTTCTGCTCTGCTGTGATTTCCGTCACATCCTTTAAAATGAAGCATTTTTTACTGACTAGTATTTTAACATTAATCTGATGTACATACATATAATGTAACAATAATTTTTCAGATACTGAACACTAGAGGGCAGAAATGTCCCTGTCACTAATGTTCAAGATTTACGAAAATGCTATTTCTGGATTAATTAACAACTGAAGTTTGTTTTCAGTTCTTAAACCTCAGGTGTGAATTTAAACTAAGTGAATTTAACTAACTAATTTAAACATCCAAATTAAGTTACAGAAACAGAATCCAGAAACATTTAATTAAATATCATGCAAAAGCAAAATACTCCAGATGCTTAGAAAAGTGCTCTGATGGATTTGTATCGAGCTGAAGTATGCAGAGTGAGTACAGCATGCCATCACTCAATGCCTTCTTGGCTCTTGGAGGTCCTATTACTAGCCACTCTGACATGAGCAAGGGGTCCCTGATAGCCTGCCACCACACGCCAGCCAACCTCCACAATTCCCCTTCCATTTCCCACAACCCATCTCCCACCAAAACCAACACTTGTTTCACTATCATCAGTGCTATTTAAAGTAATCTGCATTGCACATTCAAGATGAGGTGCTTTTGATTTTCATTTGCTGCTGTAGAGTTAGTAGAAATATTATGTTGTTGGAACGTCTCTCAAAGGTCATTTGAGTGAGATGGAGGTGTTGTTGGACTTTTTAAAGGAATTCAGTGAAGTTTGAAGATCTGTGAGCAAGGATACTCCAATTAGTGAGGAGTTCATACTTATGATTCCTCTTAGGCTTTAACGGGGCACAGGCAGCAGAGGGGAAGCTCTGTGCTGAGGGAAGAAGAGGGCTCCCAATAGAAAACCATACCACTGAAAATATTCAGAAAATACTTTTTTCTACTTCAGCATCAGCCAGGAGCATTCTCTGAGGCACCTAACTGCAACTTTCACAAACCAGATCTCTAGTCACAGAGGAAGGTGAGGATAGTGCTGCCAGCCCCTTTGAAAATTATCATAGCTCTCAACTTCCATGCAATTCAGGGACATTGTCAACATCACAGAACTGTTGCAGCTCAGAAAGAAGCCATTCAGTTCATTGTTTCCATGCCAGCACTCTGATTGAGCAGTTCACATAATGTCATTCCCCAGCTTTCTTCCTTTCTTGCACGTTCTTCCTTTTCAGAAAATAATCCGAACTGGCCTACACCACACTGTCAGGCAACACTTTCCAGATCTAAATCTACTTTCTGAATAAAACTCTTTCCTCTTTTATCTTCATTATTTTATTTTACCAATGATCTTACATCCTATATCCTCTTGATCTCAATCCCTCCAACAATGAGGGCTTTATTTTCCCAATTTATTCTGTCTGGACTCCTTCTGATTTTGAACACCTCTGTTAAAACTCCTCTCAACTTTTTCTTCTCCAAGGAGATAAAATCCAGAGTCTCTAATTTATCGATATTATGCAAGTTCTTCATCCCTGGATCCAAAAGTAAAACATTGCAGATGCTAGAAATTTGAAATTAGAACCAATACAGCTGAAAAATCTCAAAAGATCAGGCAACATCTGTGGAGAGAAATTGAGTTAATGTTCCAAATTTTCTTCAGAACTCCATACATGCAGCATGGCCTGCTGGAATTTCAGCTTGTTTTCTTTTTTTTATCCCTGGAATCACTCTCATGTATCTTTTCAACATTCCCTCCTATGCCTTTACATCTTTTATAAAGTGTTGTGACTGAAGTTGTACCAAACCAATATTATATACAAACTTAATAAAATCTCTATGCTTTTCTAGTTCATGCCCCTATTAATAAAGCTGAAGATCATGTATGATTTGTCAATGATGATCTACCAAAGTAGTCTTTTATACATATCTATATATATGCCTTTGTTTTTCCTTTTATGTAATAAATGTATCTTCTTTAATTAAAAACAACTTGGCAGCCTCGAGTACATATATTAAGTAGCTAACTACCACAGTAACCAAATTGCAAAAATAAAACTTATGGTCAATCAAAGAAGGTTTCATTCTGGAATGTAACTTACCTGGTGTTTCCATCAGCTGGGATCATACCAATATCATCAGCATTACACTCAAAAATCCTTTTAAATAAAAACCAAAAGAACTGCGGATGCTGTAAATCAGGAACAAAAACAAAGTTGCTGGAAAAGCTCAGCAGGTCCGGCAGCATTTGTGGAGGAGAAAACAGAGTTAACGTTCTGGGTCCGGTGACCCTTCCTCAGAACTGATGGTGGCTGGGAAAATGTCAGTTTATATGCAGAAAATAGGGAGGTGGGTGGGGTAGGGAGTAA